TATAAGTCAATGTAGAGAAGGGAGTTTTGTGGGGATCTCAAAAGTTGGGATAAGATGAGAATGTAATATGTGAAGCCATGACTAGAATGGTGACAAATTAGAAGTTATAAATAAGTGTATGATCAATATTTGTATACAACAGTTACATAATGATTAAGCTGACATATTTTAGCATATAAGAAAGAAGTGCTTGGGAGCTGGAGGTTGGAGCTACAAACCTCTGCGTACAGGAACAAAGGTACGATGGGCAGTCTGTAAAGTCCGTTGTGACTCTGACACTCGAGAGGGCAAGCAGTGGGACTTCAGCCATCCGAGGTAAGTGGCAAGAACCAGCTGCCTGCTCAGTCAGCCCTTCTTAAGTGTTCCTTACAGTCAAGGGACAGGAAGACCTATGCTGAGGAAAGCTCTCTGCCCGCCAAGTGTCTTGGACTCAAGGCATGGGCAGCCAGAGGGATTTTCAGTGCATCACTCTGCCAGAGCTCTGATCCTTCCTCAGACACAACCTCATGAAAGTTTCACTCTGTTAACATGAAAGTGACAGGAACATAATTTAGAAGATTAGGCTATGATGTTTGTGCCTCTATCAGCCACCATCCTATCAGTGAGAACTTTAGAGGTGCTTAATCATAAAACGAAAACCAACAAGCAAACTGCCTCAGTCTGAGAATGTTTTTCCTTCTGTTTCTCTAACTGGGAATCTGCTGCCCTGGGCTCTCTGGTGACACAGGTTAAGCCACACACTGGCTTGGAGTCCAGATCTGTGTGTTGGTCCAGAGCCCCCCTCCCCCGCAAAAGGGTTATGCTCTATGATAACCATTATGATGGCAAAAGGCTAGCAGCCTTTATTTGTAAAGAGCTCATACACATGGACAAACAAAAACCGTAACTGAAAATGTTAACAAGGGGAAAAAAAAAGGGAACTGACAGCACTCCCCAAGAGTAAAAACAGAGATGGTCAACAAACACTTGAAAAACATTAAACTTTTCTCGTTAAAAAGAAACAGCAATGCTGTGTCATTTTTCATTATCAAAGATGGAAAGACAAGAATATTCAAACAGGGAGGACGATTCTCTTAAACCACCGGTGGAAGGATAAAGTGATTCACAAACGTAGTCACCATGGCAAATTTATAACATTACAAAAGTGTCATAAAACAATATATAAACCATACATGATGGTACAGCTGTATGTAGCCATTAAAAATAGTGTCTAAGAAACATTTCCAGTGACATAGGGAAATACTAATGCTATGCTGATGTTTACAAAGTGGAGTACAAACATATGTTTATGTGATACCAGCTGTGTATAGAAGGAAATGTGTCGTTGAGTGATTATTTCTAGGACCTGAAGTAATGGATGATTCTTAGTCTTGTCTCCATGCTTTCATGTATTTTTCCAGTTTTCTACAACCAGCATGCATTACATTATTATAAACGGAAAAGTTCACCTAAAAACAGCAACAGTGACTCAACAGTCTCCCCTTCTGCCCTCTGAAGGAAGCACAGGCTTATCATTAAAGGGAATTAAAAAGCTCATTGTGGTGAGAATGTGATTACCAGGATTATTAAAAGCCAAAACAAAACAAAACAAAAAACCAGGGCAGGCTCTCAGGAAGGCAGAGGAGAAGAGTGCCACAGAGTTTACCAAACAAATATTCATTATTTGGGAAGTGTTTAGAAGAAGCCAGGACTGGCCTCCAACCTCTCTGTCCATATGCCAGCACTGCGCTGAGTAGGTACGAGTCATAAAACATGGCCCCTCAGCTCAAGAAGCTTTGCCGTCTTGTTAGAGGTACACGAGACAAGTACATAGTAAAGGATGCTTGAGGCATTTTGATTAAAAAAAAAAAGTTCCTACTGTGTATCAGGTAGCATTCTGGGGATAAAACAGATAATGAAATAGATGACATTTGTTCCTCGGAGAGGTTACGGCTGGCAGGAGCATAAGTTCTAGCCTTCAGCTACATCAGTGTGGACTGATGGGCTGACGGAGTCCAGGAAAGCTGGGGAACAGTTAGGACTGAGAGAGGCAGAAAACAGGGGAGGACTTTAGGAACTGGAGTAGTTAGAGGGTGGGCAGTCAGGAACACGCACAGTCTGAGCAGGTGCTGGACTAGGAGAAGCAAGAGTGGAAGACCAAAGGGAGCAGGGCCTCACTAGAGAACCCAAGTTGAAGCTCTAAGTCGCACCAGATGGTAGTGTGCCTCCAGGATCAGGCACAGGATGTAGGACTGCGTTCTAAGTCCATAGAGAAAACCAGGGACTACCACCTCCTCCAGGTGTCTGCTCACAGGCTTCTCAGCTCCAGGTTCATTTTGTTTCATTTCCTATTGAAAACCTCCAAAAGGCCAGTTGAGAGAAAAGAGGAAGTCAGAAACAAAGGGTGCCTGGGGTGCTGTGGCTTAAGGGGCTCATGCCATCTCCTCTGAGAAGCCCCAGGAATCTTTTAGAATTAAGCTTAATAATAACGATTTTTTTTTTAGCCACAAGTGTAACAGGCTTGAAAAAGAAGACGGAATATTTATACAAAGTCACCCCAACTCCCAACATTTTGGTTCCTAGATCGTGGAGACAAATGAAACCTTATTTCCTATAGCATAATGGTATAAATCAGGGTTCCAGCCCTGGAAATCCATCCTACACCCTGAAATACCTAAATCCACTAAAAACGCAGATACAGGCTTTTATAAACATTTGTTAATATGCAAAACCATACACATTACACTCCTGTCAGGAATTTTTCTCATTCTGTGGGCCAGCCTAGTTAAAATTTCTCAACATAGCAGTCTAGTAACATGTGGACTGAAAACTCCTTTGTTATACCTGATAAATCTTTCTGTAGCATCACTGCTCCAGGAATTTACTAACTACATTCAAACAGGGGCCTTCAGCCTCTCGGGTTTTCACAAATTCAGGCTCCAAAGATTTTGACCAGTAAGTGCTGCTGAGGGGCAGCCCCCAGGGCCTCCTCTGAGCCGGCCCCTAGGAGACGTGGGTAGGTGGTGGCAGCACGGGTTCAGAGGGTCTGTTTCTGTTCTAACAGGCCCCTGCCTCACCTCCAGGCAACGTCCCCAGGTCTCTGCCGAAGGGGTCGCTAATACATCCTTCTTCTCATTATTCACACTGGCTTGGGTCCTGTGAATGAAGCTCCCTGATGCAGACTGAATGTCTGTCCCCCCAGAAATCGTAACAGTATTTGGAAGTGGGGCCTTTAGGAGAGTAGGACGAGAGCCCTCATTAATGGGATCAGTGCCCTTAAAAAAGAGGCCCCAGAGAGCTCCCTTGTCCCTTCCACCGTGTGGAGACACAGCAGACAGCTGACCGCCACAGACCCAGTCAGCCAGCGCCTTGATTTTGGACTTAACAGCCTCCAGAACTGAAATGTTTCTATTGTTTACGAGCTTCCCAAACCACAGTAATTTGCTATCAGCCCAAACGGACTGAGACCTCGCCCTCTCCCTCAGCCTGTCCCACATCCTGTTCCTCACACTGTGCTGTTTTCCCACACGCAGAACAAACGTGGGGTGAGGTCCAGCAGACCCTCCAGCCAGCTTTGGGAAGGGGAGGGGCTGCTCCTCTCTAGGCTCCCTTGAGAAGCTGAACTCCAGGCCACCGACAGCCACCAGTCCCTTCACTGCCCATACCACTGGCAGCCCTGGCCTGGGGTACTGAGCAGACACCCTCCGTGTTCCAGCCATATTCCCAGGCACTTCAGGATGTAAGTGACTGTTTTGCTCCATACTGGAAAATTTATAAATGCAAAGGCATAGTATGCAGACTACTATTTTAGAGGCCAATTTGGAGCTGTCCCCTGATTAAAAATTCAGTGAAAAGGTTTTTCCAAAATGATGAGGCAGGTACATATGATATATACCATACACTATGGAGGGACTACAGTAAGCAAGTTTTCTGTAGATCACTTAAAAATATTCCTTGATTGTAAGTTTAAATATTAAGCCTAAAGAAAAAATCAGATTCCAAACAAGAATCATACAAGCATTCTCCTTGATTATCACTTATAATGGTGACAAAGGGAACAAACAGTGAAATGGATAGATCTATGACATGAAACATCATGAAGCCATTACACGTTTTTGAATATATAACAGCTTTGAAAAATGTTTACAATATTCAGTAAGAAAAGCATTATGTTCAATGGCATGACTATTTAAAAACACACCAGCACATAGGAAAAACCATTAGGAGAAAATGAACAGTGGTTCTGTGCATGCGGTAGAATAAAAGGTTATTTTTATATATTTTTTTATAAATACTTCCCAATATTTCTCTAACATATATTACTGTGGTCAGGGGGGGAAAATGTACATGTTTTAAAATTAATGTGTGTTACGATGTTATTTCATCACCAGGCGGCATCTGGTCTTAACCCAGTGATGAGTTCCCAGAGTAGGGCAGGTAAACTCACAGAGAGGTCTAGCGCTGGTCCTCCAGACTGGCTCACATTAGAACGAGGGATACAGCTTCTAGAACACACTAGCGCCTGGCCCCAGCCTCAGAAGTTCTGGGTTGACTGGCACGTGGTCAAGCCATGGTCATTCTTACAGGTCACCCAGTGGTGCTAGGGACAGCCACCCTGAGGACCTCAGGTCCCAGGCCTTCAGCCGCTCCCTCCACCTCCAAGCACCAGTAACAGTGAGCCTCTCCCGCACCCCAGTCAAGCCCACCCTCAGTAGGGATCCAGGAAACCCCCTCACAATGTTTCCAATGGCCTGTGGTGCTTAAGCCTCAGCAAAGCCTCTGGCCCAAGGGTTACGACATTCCAGGCACTCAGAGCTGCCGGGAGAGCCCAGAGAGGCAGCTGAGGACTTATCCAGTGGCTCCCGCCTAGTGGTCACCTCAGATTTCTTGTTTGGGGTTTGGTTGTTTCGAAGGGCGTTTGCCACAGGTTTTTACGGAATTCCCAGAGGAGACACAAGTTTGAGAAGAAACCAGGAGGGAGAAAGGGAGAGCAGGACACTCACTAGTGTGACTTCCCACAGGCACCGAGGAAGGCAGCCCTGGGAGGAGAAGATGAGCAGCCTAAGGTCAAGGTGGAGTAGCCAGCTGCTGTTCCTGGGCATCGTGGTGCTCACGGTCGTGGTCATCTTCCTGCTATTCTACGCTCTCCTCTGGAAGGCCGGCAACCTCACTGACCTGCCCGACCTCAGGATTGGCTTCTACAATTTCTGCCTCTGGAATGAGGACATTGGCGCCCTACAGTGCCACCAGTTCCCTGAGCTGGAGGCCCTGGGGGTGCCTCGCATTGGCCTGGCCCTGGCCAGGCTGGGCGTGTATGGGGCCCTGGTCCTCGCCCTCTTTGTCCCCCTGCCCCTCCTTCTGGCCTGGTGCAACAGCAACGAGGGGGAGTGGAGGCTGGCGGTGGGCTTCCTGGCCATGTCCTCTGTGCTGCTGGCCAGCGGCCTGGGCCTCTTCCTCACCTACACGTGGAAGTGGGTCAGGCTCTCCCTGCCAGGGCCTGGGTTTCTAGCTCTGGGAGTCGCCCAGGCCTTACTCATCCTCTTGCTTATGGCCACAGCTGTGTTCCCTCACAGGGCAAAGGATAAGAGTAGGCTCGAGAGCTGCTGGTTCTGACTAAAGGCTGCCATGATCGCAAGGGCTCAGTTTGAACTACATTCAGAGAAGATGCCAGAGAATTCCTGGGCTGGGACGTCTTCTCAGCCACTCCGTTTCACAGCTAATGCGGACCTCAAGTTCTAGCAGACGGGACCCACCGCGGAGGGGGTGGGGTACCCAGCATCAAGGAGGCCAAGAGGTAGCAAGGGCGTCCAGGGCACCTCCGGCTTCTTAGAGTAGATGTCTGTCCTTCGGGACTCCCAAAGTTCCTAAGGACACCCTAAAACCACGCAGCTCATTGTCATGAGAATTTCTGCCTTAATTAACTGATCTGAGCAAGCCATCCGTTCTTTATCCTCAGAACAATGGGGAGATTAGGCTTCCTGTCATGGGGCCAGAGTTCCAGGAGGAGTTGCCAAATGCCAGACTGGAACCCAGGGAAGGTTTATGAAGGAAGACCTCAGTGACCCTGGGGGTTCTGGTTAGTAAGCTCCCCTTCACCATCCGAGGGGGGACACGGTGAGCCCCTCACCCCTGAAACCACTCCCAGAGGCCCAGGAGTGATCTGAGGGACTCACCAAAGACAGAGAACACATGGACACAAAGAGCAGCCTTGGTGGCTTTGAAGGTTTCCCTGAAAAGGCTCCTGGACCTGTAGCCAGACGGGGGTCAGCTGGCAGATCACTCCCAACATGCGACCTGGGAGTTCATGAGCCAAATACGCCAGATCTCCAGTACGGAGAGGAAGGTGACCGGGACTGAAAGGCTCTACATCCATGTAAATGCTGCAGCCCCTCCCTTTGCACCCCTAAACCAGAAAGGATACACGCACAACTCATGTACCAGGTAACTGTGTGTATTTTTCAGCATCCACATACAGGAAAACCCGTACAGCAAGTGATCACCTCACTCTATGCCTGTCAAAAGCCACACTGAATACAGAGACAGAAACATGGACTCCGGTGTGATGTCTTGTCCTTAGCATCTCCTTTGGGCTCCTGTCCCACTCTTGCTTTCCAACTGCCTCCGGACCAAGGCCGAGGCCACCAAGTGGAAGAAAGGTAGCAGCTTTGATTGGTCAGGAGGCTTCCCAATCTGTGCACTGAGCCTCAGGCTCCCAAGCGGAGACCCACACTGTGGCAGGATGTCTGCCTTCAGGGCTGGACGAGCGAGGGCTCACAGACTGACTGACTGCCTCGTGATGGAAGCTATTTTTAAACAGGCTTCCTCCTTAGGGAGACTAAATCACAGAATTCCAGTGTCCTTAGCAGCCATACTTGTTTTTCTTTGAAAATTAAGTTGACTCTTCAGTTCCAGTTAAGTTTGACCACTATGACCTCATTTCCCTGGAACCAGGTAACTGAATAAAACAACTGTTGGGATTCCAGACACTCTGAGCAGGGAGAGGGCACAGTGCAGGGAGGAATTCTAATGGGAGCTCATTTTGATTCCTCAATTCCCAAGGCCTGGAGCATCTAGGCACTCCTGCTCCAAGGTGAACCTGCCTGGCTCAGGGCGGTGCGGAGCTGGGAGCAGACACCACAGTTTGAGGGCAGCCCCACTACCACTCCCGGCCAAGAGGGGAAACCTGGCTTCCTTCAGCCGCTCGGAGCAGGAAGTGCTGGGAAGTCTATCCCTTAGCTGAAAAATATCTCCCTGACGTACTTTAACGCGTCTTGATCCTCCCCGGGGCTTCCGCTGCAGGCCGGGTCAGAACTCGCAGGCCCTGGAGGAGGGGAACCCGGGGGAGGGCCAATGTCCCCACTGTCCCCGTCCTCACTTCTGTCCTCAGCTGAGCTGGCGGGGGAGAGCTCTGGCTTATCAGCTCCTGCCAGAGGCGGCCGCTCCGAGGGCTTTTCCTGTTTTCGGTCCTGCTGAGTAGAAGACAAGGCAGGCGAAACAGAAGGGTTTGACTTCCCTACCGTGCTGGTTTGTCTGTCAGTGATCTCAACGCATCAGAACACATCCAGAAGCAACCACGAAGCCAGCGCGTGACCGGTGGGGCCTGCTCCCCAGTCACAGATGCCCCTACTTTCACCTCCCCTCCCGCCGCCCCTTCCAGACCATGAAGAGATCAGGGAACAGCTCGGGAGGGCAGCAGCCAGGGCCTGAGGAACAGCGGCGTAGAAAAGAGAAACAGAACAGAAGTATGTGGAAAGGCAGGGGAACGGAAGGGACGGAGCACAGGTCACAAAACCTGAGAGTGGGCCTCAGCTTGATCACTTGTTGGCACCAAGTCCCTTATTATAACTAAGGAAGGTCCCTGAGTCTCAGATGGGGACAGGAGTGTATGCAATAGCTGTCAGCAGGTTATCACACGGACTGAATGGGACAGTAACATATGAAAGTCCCTGGTCTGCTCTCAAGGTCTATCTGACTCAGGTGGGCCAGGAAGCCAGGAGACAGCAATGTCGTGTTCAGAAGTGCGGCGCTCAGAAGTCAACTCACCCGACTGAGCTCCTTCAGAGAACACAACATCTGTCCCCTCCACATGCCACCAGCACAGAGTCACCCAAACAGAAAGGGTGGCTCTCCCTCTCACAGCCGCACCCCCCCCAGGTATCCAGCCCCCCATGCCAGGCAGGTGCACACCTCCTGGGCCCCCCACAGCAGGCAGGCCCCTCTTTCATGAGCACTGACCAGGGCCTAGTCTACTTTTGGCCGCCAGGAGTTTCTGCTTAGGAGAACACAGCTGATTTTACCTCAATCAGGATCCCCAGAGCAACGTCCACGATCTCAGCCTCATTCATGCAGTACACAGTCCTCGTGGCAGGAAGTCTGCAAGAAAGGCACGAAGTTACAGATGGGCACAGGGTCGCAGGGAGGAGAGAAGGAGAGCAGCCCTCGCGTCTCTGGGCCCGCCCTCCAGGGATGAGAGCGGCAGCTTCCCCAGGGTGGGAACTGGCTTCCTCATCCTTGTAACCAAGGACTGGCTACACGGGTTCACGGGGCAACACTGGGGGCTTCCTGCCCTTCACCATGTCCCCTAAGAACCTGGAAACAGGGCACAATGGCCGGCTCCAGGGAGTCAAACTGACACACACAGTGGATGCCAGCAGATCAAATGGACCAAGACTTACATGAACCCCTTTGTACACCAAATGCATGAACACAGTAAAGAAGGTCTGGAAAGATCAGAAAGGGAGGCCGTGAAGAAAACTTAGAAAAAGGAGAGCCAGAGAGGGATGGGGCACACGTGGGCAGCATCCAGGAGAGGCAAGGGCATCCCCTGCTCCCCAGCAGCCTGGAGACCCCACCACCATTACCAACATTCAACCAACTGCCCTACAGTCTCCGATCTCAGGCCGGCCCTGCAACCTGCAGGTTGTCTGGCTGTCCTGAACATCTGCCCACAGGGAGACTGGACTACCTGGTCCACTCATCTTGCCACTGGATGAGCACAATTTTTGTGGCAAGTACAGAGTCTGGCATTGTGGACTAGTGGTGTCTGAGAGCTTGGCTGATGTGTAACCCAGGATGGGGAGCTGCTCTCTGGGAGGTGATGGCCCGGAGGTGATTCGCCAACAGAGGCAAAAGTGGGCACCTGTCCCAGAGGGGATAGCTTGCTTTGCCGTTTGCAGCCTGTATACCTCCTAAGAGCTGACTAGAGGTCCGCGGACTGAAACGCCCTCACCTCACTGTTCTGCCAATGCTGGAAGGCCCACCCCCAGTAGCTCTGACGTCCCAAGTCCCTCCCCACCGCTGACTACCCAGGGGGACCCTGACCAGAAGCTGTCCCACCTTGCTGCGGCCGCCGGCACCACTGCCGTTCTCCTCCTCTTGGGGGTCTTCACCTGTGTAGTCCTCTTTTCAGCCACCTGGGCTGTCATCCATGTGGGGAGGACCCTCTTTTTAGTCCCGGCTTCTAAGGCTTCCATCTCTCTAGTCTCTCATGAAGAGGGACCAGGGCCCAAGCTTAGTGACTTCAGGACAGCAAATCCCCCTCTCTCATCACACCAGGAATTGCAGGTCTGTCCTGAAGGGGAGTCCAGCTTTAATTCCTACAAAGAACAAAGTCCAGTGAATTCTAAAAAGCTAGAATACTTCCAGGCAATCACTGGTCAGGGCAGGCCTGAGGTGAGCTGGGCAGTGAGCAGGGCCCAGGAGACTCAGACTGGGGGATCACAGGGCATGAAGGGGTAGATGCTGAGTGGACAGGCCGAGGGGCTAGGGAAGAAGCAGCCCAAGTACCCACCGCAGGGCCCAGGCCCCTCACAGGCAGCCAGGCCCAATTAGAAATGCCTCCAGTAGCCTCTGCACTGAGCCATTCAACATGGGAGAGGGATGAATACCCTCCCAGGAGGGAGGAAGGAATGAGCCCCCCCCCCCAGATGCTCACTGTGCCCAGCATATCCCATCCTTAAAACCTCTCTCAAAGGATCCCTCCCTCACCTCTCTCAACTCCAGACTTCTCGTTGTGAATCAAAATGGCCTTGGGGTTTCCTATAACCACACCAAGATAAAGGGAATGCAAAGTCTGAAGTTTGGTGTGGTTATAGGAAACCCCAAGGCCATTTTGATTCACAACAAGGTTTCATTGGCCAACACCCCCTTCCTTAATCCAAAAATACTTCTGGCAGGTCAGATTTTAGCCAGAAGCAGGAGTCAGGGCCAGCTGTGCCTGGCTCCCTGATGTGTGGAATCCAGGAGAGCCAGGGGCTGTCGCTCCCCAGCCCACCCCCACTAGCCTCCAGCTCAGCCCCCTCCTCCTAAAGCTCAGGTGCAGGTCTCTACCCTCCACCTGGCAGTAACTCTGACAGCAGCTCAGGACTCTTGTGTGGAAAGGATCTCACTGGAGCAGAAGTTTGACTAGAAAAAGGTCAGCCAAGAATAAGGGGCTCCTCTCTGAATCATAACTGGCTCACTTACTGTTCATGTAGAATGGCTGTTTACAACTTAAGAAAAAATTAGCAGGACATCATCCTAACCTATCTGGCCAGAGGTCAGAGCTTTGCCAATATTCATTTCTGTCAAAATTCAAGAGGTGGTAACAGTCATTCTCACATCTAATGAGCACTGCTAACCGCCAGGCCCAGAAACAGCGCTGCGGTCGATGTAAACATTGATTTGAACCTGAGGTAGATATTATGAAGCCCATTTTACAGATAAAGAACTAAGACTTGGCAATCTGCACAATGTCACAAAAATGTCTGAAAGAGCCGGCCGGGGCTCGCACCCGGGTCCGATAGGCTCGTGTCAGCGGCCCAGCCGCTAAGGCTGGTGAGGGCCCGGGACACCCCGGCGCGGCCTCGCGGGAAGCCCTGGCCAGCGCTCCCGAGTCTCGGCCACAGCTGCTCTCGGGGACCCGCGCCGCCCGGCGCCCGAGCCAGTGCCACCTGCAGGTGGGTGGTGCGTGCATCTCACGGGCCTCGCCGGCGCCGCCTGCCCGTCGTCCGGCGCCTCCTCCACCCTGGGC